GCTCCATCCCTGGCGATGTTCAAGGCCAGGCTGGCCAGAGCCTTGGGTAACATGGTTTAGTGTGAGGTGTCCCCGCCCATGGCAGAGGGTTGGAACTTGATGATCTTAAGGTCCTTTCCAACCCAAACTATTCTATGATTTAAGTCACGAACCTGATGCTAAGCTTTTTGCTGAAGAAACACTTTTTCACGCATCCTGACAGCTTCTCTGAGCAGAACTGACTCCATTCTTCATGACCTGACACAGTGTCAGAGCAAAGGAGAGCAAAGCCTGCTGCCATTGATAGTTTTACAAGCATGAAAACTCTTAAGTGCTCGGAAGGGACATGGGATTTGTGCTGAAAATCCCTGGAAAGCTAAACTGCATGTTTGTCCTTTGGCATTGCTAGTGCAGTGTATCGTGTTTTCTGTTTGCCAGGTAAGGAACAGTGAACAAAACTAGTTCAGATGTGTTGTGCCATGAGTTTGGATAATTTTGGTCGCTAGCCAGAACAGACTGCTTTTTTCCTTGGCACAAATGTGTTCATGTTTGTCAGAGAAACTTCTCTCTTCCAATAAGGAAAAATGAGTCTTAGTGTTCTGGGAGCATGGCAAGGAATAGTTGTACACAAGTTTCTCTTAGTTCCAAATTATTACCAATTTATGTGGAAATCTCAGCTGATTTCTTTCCTCTGAAAAAGGTAGTAATGTGAGAAGCAGTTAAAGCACAGCTGCAGCATTACCAAGCCTGGTAACACCACTGTAGAAGTGATTTTATGGCTTAGGAAGTCACAAGAGATTGGGTATATGGTGAATTACATGTACAGCAGAGCTGGGGACTTTGCTGGGCCTCTCTGGCCAGCTCTGTGCTCAGGCCAGTGGATCTTTGACTCCTCCATTTGACAGACTTCCTGTGCTACTTCTGGAAGTAGGAACACGGGAGCCAGACTGCTCACCAACACATTCACTGCTATTCTCTTGCTTCTAGCTGGCTGCAATACACCGACTACGAGCAAAAGGGCAGGTTCTTGCTAAAACTGACCCAAACAATGTCAAGAGGAAACGAGCTGATGATGCTGATGTCCTAGAAATTATTGAAAGAGTTGAGAAGAACGTTGCTCAGCCACAAGGTACAGAAGCAGAGAGTGGTATGTAATGTTAGCTTCTAGGAGAGAAAAATCATGCTTATGTCCTGCTGAACACTTGCTGAGTTAAAACCAAAGAGAGGCCAAGTTAAGTCTATTTAGAACCTCAAGGGTTTGTTGCAAAGGCTGAACAATCTCTACCCCTGTGGAGAGAATGTGAGATGTAATCTCTGATAGCTCCCTGTCCTCATCTCTGGTCTCCTGGCACTTGAGCATGGCTGACTTAACCAAAGAAAACTAAACAGTCCCACCTGGGAAGGTATCTGAATTTTCTTTGGGAACTTGAGGTCCCTGCTGGTGATTTACTGTGTGATCTTGGACAAACAGCTTCATTCCCTGTAATGCTTCTCCATCAGTCAGGGAGGCAGCGCTGCTCACTCCCTGGAAGTAATGTGGAAATTCCTGGTACAGCTCTGAGAGAAGATGCAATGTTATTAAATACAAAAGCTTTTTGTTCTGCAACCCTATTCATGTTCCTGCTGTTTGACCTGAACATCTGCCTGACAGGCCTGAGACTTCCAAAGTCTCCTGCAGTGCTTATGCTTAGAGATCACAAGCTTGGTTTGAACTCAGTCTCTGCAGGACTGAGCCTTTTTGTCTCCCTAGATATGAATGAACTGGAGCCTGCCCAAAAGAAACGGCGTGAGCAGCTGGCCTATCTGGAGTCAGAAGAGTTCCAGAAAATCCTGAATGCCAAGTCCAAGCACACAGATGTCCTCAAACAGGTATGGCCTCAATCCAGCCATGTCTGAGAGCTCAGAACTAGGGAGCTCTCTGCAGTCCTAACCATTTCAGCAAGAAACAGGCACACAAATGTGTAACAGGCACCAAATCTGATGGCTTCAAGGCCAGGTTGGACAGAGCCTTGGGCAGCATGGTCTAGTGTGATGCATCCCTGCCCATGGCAGGGGGTTGAAACCAGAAGGTCCTTTCCAACCCAAACCATTCAATGATTCTATGAGTAGGGTCAGGGATCTCTGAGCACACAGGCTGCAAATCAGCATTATTGCCATAGCCATGGGAAGGTCAAGCTGCCATCAGGTTTTTTTGCTGTGTTTGGAAGAGTGGACACATTACATTGGTATGAAGTCCCAGCTGGTTTAAGGTCTCCTGAGGGTTAATAGTTTGGCTAAGAACCAACTTCATTTATTACATCTGCCTACCTGACCTCTCCCTGCGCTGTCCTTGTAGGTTTGTGCTTAGCTGTTGTTAAATCCTCCCACTCATACATCTCAGAGGTGGCTCGTTTCAGGGTTGGTGATCACAACATGTGCACTATATGGGTTTCTTTTGGAAGCAAGACACATTTGGTGTTTTTCTGGCTCCCAGACTGCTGTCTACTTCAAACAGGCCCAGTAGTAATTTGCCCTAATGCTGTTTATAGAGTAGCTTCTCCCATCTTTGTCTTCCCACAACCTTTTGTGTGTGCCCCACAGGGTGAGGCTGAACTGCAGGAGCAATACTTTGAGCCACTGGTGAAAAAGGAAGAACTAGAAGAGAAGATGAGGAGTATTAAAGAAGTGAAATGTCGAGTTGTGACGTGTAAAACCGTGAGTGAAGGGGAGCCAGGGTGACAGTAGTGGAGGGGAACAGAATGATGCTGGACCATCCTGCAAACACCCATCTGTTATTCTCTTGGCTGTAGTCCAGTGCAGAGATCAAATGGAGACAGTTCTGCTCCTTACACCTGTTGCTGAGAACAAGCCATGCACTGCTTGACTGAGACATGGACACAGTGGCAAGGCAGCCTTTAGAGCTGTGCTGAACACCTCAACTTGGTGTTGATGCCAGTGGGTTTTCTGGGTGTTAGTGTCCTGAAAATACCAGTTTCTTCCCTGAAGTAAGTGCTTTGTACTGGGACCCTCAGTTTCTTGTATTACAAGACAAAGTGAAGTGAGAACATAACACTGAGTGGGATTCATCTAGCTGCATTTCCAGGGACTTTGCCATCAGGAAGAAGAGTGGAGCTTTGTTACTATCCCAAATAGAGAGGAAGTGAGGAGTTACCTCCCATTCCCAGAGTTTCAGCCCCTGCTGGACTTTCCCTCTCACTGCCTTTCCTGTGTTGGGACTGCACAGAGGGCCATTGTATGCCTCATGAGGTGCTGGGAGCAGGATGGTGGCAGAGGGAAATGTTAGGAGGAGCAGTGACAAGCCTGGGCAATGATCTCAGACTGGTGGGCTCCGCAGGGTGGGAGAAGACAGAGATGCTTTCCTCAGTGTTCAAAGCTGTTGCCAGCCCACAGAACAGGTCTCACATGCTGGTGAAGCTCACAGCTCTCTCTCTCCTCCCTGACAGTGTAATTACACCTACTTCAAGCCTCTGGAGACGTGTGTCCAGGATAACCATGACTACCACTTTCATGATGCTGTCAAGCGCTTTTTCAAATGTCCTTGTGGAAGCCGAGCTATTTCCCTTCACAGGCTCCCAAAAAAGCCCTGCAGGTAAGGAATGAGCCTTGGGAAATAGTGACAGGGACCTTTGTACTGTCCATTCACCAGTAACATGCTGGGAATCGCATAACCATGTTCTAAGATGGGAACATCGGCCCTTGTGTTAAGCAATGTGGGGCTACTTTTGGTCCTCCTAATATTGTGCAGCAAAAACCCACGACAGTGGTCCTCACATGCCCTCTTCATCTTTCAGTACCTGTGGCCTCTACAAATGGGAGCGGGACGGGATGCTAAAGGTAAGTGGGAGCCAGCAGTTGCTGAGCACCTCAGCACTCTGCCAGCTTCTCTTGGTACTTTTGCCCCATGCTTTGCTTCAGGGCCCTTACAAGCTCCCAGCAAAACCAGACAGGTCTGTGTTTTGTCAGGTGCATACAGGTAACCACAGGCTGTGTTTTAGTGGATTTCCTCTTTTTGAAGCTTGCTTTATTTAACTGTGGGGAATTTGCTTTTGACCAAAGTTGTAAGAATGTCAAGGTTCCTAGAGTTTCAATGACACAATACAGCCCTACCACCACTTTCTGTCACAGAAATGGTGGGAGACATTTCACCACACATTTAACTTCTTTTCTCCATGGTTCATGTTTCTAGGAGAGAAAAGGTCCGAAGATTGGTGGAGAAACACTTCTGCCACGAGGGGAGGAACATCCAAAATTCCTCAATAGCCTGAAATGACCTGGAGTTGGGAGTTGTTTGTTTTTTCCACACCACAAAGATGGATTTCTGTGCCTAAGACATACACTTCTTTACTGGAATGCTCAGAGGATTCTGTTTTCAGGGATGAATGAGCTGAGGAATCAATTCCTGATGAGGAGATCCACAAAATCTCCACCAGGCCACTGCATGGATATTCAGCTTTGATGTTTTTAGAACAGACTGAATCAGGCTCCATATGAAACACACATCGTGCCTGTTCTTTCTTACTAATAACTTGTTCACAAGATTTAACCTAGAAAATAGACATCTAGGGTGGAATTTGTACTAAGAAATCCTTAGGGATCCAACAAGTTATGCTGAATGGCTGGTGTAGAGTGCCCTCACTAGAATTTCAAGTGACAAATCATCAGGAACTGGGAGGACTGCAGGTTCCATAAGCGCTTGTGTGGTGTGTAAATGCCAGCCTGTCATGGTTGTTCAACTGTTGGCCAAAAAGAGGTGTGAGAGGGTCGTAGGTACAGAGCAGTCTTCACTGGCTCCAGAATTACTCTCTTTGAACCCTTGAGAGCAGATGCCAAATAGTTCCCAAAAGGTCTCCTTGGTTTATGTGTTAAAATCCCCTCCACTGGCCTTGGCATTACCAGCCAGTGGTGGTTACACTGCAGACTAGTGGGAGCTCTTTGGGAACCCCTTTCCCTATTAACAGCCCTTAGTGAGCCCCCACCACCATCCACACTACAGCATCTTCATGGCTAAAAACTTGCATCTCCCACTTTGAGAAGCATTTTAATGAATCTGGCACTGGTTTGAGTGGTTTTAAAGCAATTACATGTAATAGCTTTTACCTGGGGTTTGGCATTTTAAATTGTCCTGAAGTCTTTCCAGTCGTGGCCATGTTAACCTCGGCTGCTGCCACAGCTTGTCCTGGACCTGATCCTTCTGCTGCCCCTAGCTCATGCCCCATAGGATCACAGGGTATTTTTTAGAGCCTAAAAACACTAGTACCTCAGTGGTTTGGTGAAACTGCCAACAGTCTCGCATGTCCCAGTGGCCTTGTTGGTACCTCTTCTGCTTGCTTCCACAGGAGCTGGAAGAGAAATAAGTTGCTTTATTTGAAGCAACTGGACAGGTTTACCTCAGTGTTCTGCAGTGTTCTTCTGGTGCTTTAGCTGGGCAGCTTGGCTCAGTGCATTGCATTCATGTCACTACCATTTGGTAAATGGGGCATCACTGGTAGGTGACTTAACATGTAGGTGACATTGCTTGGCAATGGCTCCAGTTGATTCCTCATTCAGAATAAATAGAGCGCACAATAAAAGGCTCCCTGGGTTTGTATGGTGTCATTTCTCTGAGGAAGAGGATGAGTTGCTCAACATCTTCATTTGCCCAAGAGCTTGGTGCTGAATCACCAAAAGGAAGTGGTTTTAGTCGGTGTCTCTGGCTGCCACACAATATTCTCATTCATAGAATGGTTAGGGTTGGAAAGGACCTTAAGATCATCCAGTTCCAACCCCCCTGCCATGGGCAGGGACACCTCACACTAAACCATGCCCCCCAAGGCTCTGTCCAACCAGGGCCTCGAACACCACATCTTTGCACAATCCATTCCAGTGCCTCACCACCCTCACAGTAAAGAACTTCTTCCTTATATTCACACCCACAGGAGATTGTCACCTGGCATCCACAGAACCCCTCTGAAATTCCACATCAGGATCAGCTTTCAGCTGGCACGTTGAAGGCTTTTGGCTTTCTCCAGTTATGTCCCTGGCCAATGGAAAGATTTCTGCAGAGCTTTAAGCAGTACCCTACCTTTGATAACTCATCTTCACACAGGCCCACAGGAGTGTGGTATGTAGAGAAGGTATGCGCCTCCTTGGGAGCCAAGAAATGAAAGCGATACTCTCCATCCCTATATGCAAAAACAGGATAAAGAAACAAAGGCCCTAACCCCTGGGGCAAACCAGGAGTGGGGGACATTAATGTATTGGGCGTTTTAGGGGCCTCAGCCTATTTTAAGAGAGACTTTTCTTGCAGCAGAGTGACCTGACAGGCCCAGCTGGTTCTATGCTGTCACTGAAGCTGTCCCGTGATAGAAAGACCTCCAGCCTTGCAAAGAAGCCCAACCACATGCCAGGCTGTGTTAGGGAGGAGCAGCCAGAAGAGAGAGATGTGAGTGCCCTAACACTACCAGTGGGTGCAAGTCATTAAACGGGATTGACATGACAGAAACCTCCACCACCACAGTTAGCACTGATGGTGAATCAAGAAGGTGTTGCTGAAGAGTTAAGCAAAGTCACATTGGAAATATAATGCTGAACATGCATTCTCAGAGCCATCTTTAAGATTAAACTGAGGAGTAAGCTGATGATAAATCAGCCCTTTTCCCCAGCCAGGAAATGTTCGTCTGGCTGCAGGGTTGTTTCTCCAGCTATAAAGTTCCCTGTGTATGTACAAAAATGGGCCGGAAGATACCCAGCTTCTCTCATAATAATCTAGGAAGTCAGGTTTGGTTTTTAGCTACATTAAGCATCTTCCTTCTTAGGTACTGCTGAAATGTTAATTGAGAGCATCTTGCTCCACTGCCACAAACGAGCTTTCCTTGGATTTTATAACCACTTTAAGGAAAAATTAGACCTTCAGCACTTTCTCCCTCTGCACTCACTAGTTTGGGTTTATTAATGCCCAAGTAAAATCAGCTCCGTGAAAACTTAACACCCTTTCACAATAAGCACACTACCACCAGTTGTTCAGGGCAGAGCCTGTGCAGTGGTCTCTTGGGCCATCACATGCCACTCTCTTGGTCAGCTGCACTCACCCAACCATTTCACATCATTTCATTTTCCCCAACCCACTTGCTGCCCGGTTTTCTTCCCTCCAAAAACAAAGTACATGTGGGACAAGAGTGCAAGCCAAACTTTTCTCCTTTTATTCTAATCTCCAATGCAAAACCATGTTGCAAAGCCTGTTTGGTGAGGTGACAGCTTATACTCTGTGTGGGCATCACTCACTACCACATCGATTACAACTGTCTGGTAGGAAAAAGCTCATGCATCAAGATCGTGGACACATGTGACCTAAAGCGATACTTCCTTGACCTCCCATTACCAGCAACCAGAGTGGCAATCAGAGCAGATCCGTGTGTTCATTAGGATTTTTACTCTGCACCCACACAGTCACAGCATAAAATCAGCTGGGTTGGAAAAGACCTTTAAGATCATCAAGTCCAATCAAGCCACTTATTCTGTAATCAGTTCCTAGTTAAGACTTTGATGGTGTTCAGCAGCTAAAGAAATATCTGCAGCTGGTCTCCTACCTTTTGGAAACCTGATGTCTTGTTTGCTCTGGAGCCATGAATAAACAGGGAGTGGAAGAACACAGTGTCTCCCTTCTCCATGACAATGTGAACCGTGGGACTCTTCTCATCATAATCCAGCAGCCCATGGAGAAATTTGATTGCCAGACTCCAGAAACCAAGAGTGGAAACAGGTCAGTAAAATTAGAAAGTTTCTGAGTGTAGAAGAGATGCAAAGGAGGTTACCCATTTTCTTTCATGAAGGTAGTACACTCGGCATACCCAATAAAGAGTCTGCTTGTTCGCCTGCAAGTCTTGCTAATCAGTTGTAAAGACTCACTTAAAAAGAACCAGAGTCATCCACTCTGCTTCCTGGATCATCTTTGCACATCTCACAGAAGGCTCAGCTTCCCCAGTTGCACCTCATAGCATCAGAGAATGGTTTGGGTTGGAAGGGACCTTAAAGCTCTTCCAGTTCCAACCCCCTGCCACGGGCAGGGACACCTTCCACTAGAGCAGGTTGCTCCAAGCCCCATCCAACCGGGCCTTGAACACTGCCAAGGATGGGGCAGCCGCAGCTTCTCTGAACAATCGTATCATACACGCATAGGATAAGACTGTGCTGCTCTACCTCCCTCTTCGGATAGCTGTGAGGTGCAACTTGTGCATCCCTGGCTGCACAACCAGGTTGTCCCTTTCTATTGTGGTCCAGGAGCACACAATATGGTCCTCATGCTAGAAGGAGATCAGTGCAAGTTCTGATGCATGGGGTGTTGAGAACTCAGGTTATCTGGAGGACAGGGAATGTGGGTGGCTGCACTGAAAAGACTTCATGCACTTTAGATGTGGTACAGCACTGTCCTGGGGAGCATCACCTTGCTAATGTGTCCCATGAGCTGCTCCAAAGCTGCAGGTGAAGCACGGGCTCTAAGCATGCTCCTTGCTGGCACTCAGTTCTGAGACCAAATGAGTTTAAATCTCACTGTATGACATAGTGAGGCCCCAAACATGGTTCTTGGGTCGCAGCTGCTCTATAGAGTGGTTGGGAATGGCATGAATAAACTGAATGAGAACTCAATGTACCCTGTGTCTGCACAGAAGCTGGACACCTCAGAGTAGGAACAGCGCAGGTCTGAGCTCTGCTGAACTGCAGAAGGTGATGAAGAGTCAAATCAACCCTGTAAAAACTGTGGTTAATTAAACTTCCTCCCCCCCATTCCCCTTGTATGAAGTTAAGACTTTGATCTGCAGCACCAGAAGCCAAAGCCAGGATTCAAAATCCTTCCTTTGGCACCTATTCAAGTGTCTTCCCATCAAAGCGCTGAGCTTGCAACCACTGTCAGCAAGGTCAGGAGTCAGCCTGGATTTGACATCTCTGAAGTATCAGTCCGGAAAACAGCACAAAAACTCCAAACAAAGGACCTCCTCTGTATTTATGGTCTTTTACCATAAGCTCCAGGAAGTGCTTGTTTTCAACACATGTGAAGTGTCAAGCCTAAAGAATGTGTCTTAAACAGTGGGGTTTCATGCACGTGCAGGTGCTAAATAAGCAGCTGAATCTGGGGGCTGATGATGTCATGTGTATTTTTGGAACCTGCATGCTGCTTATTAAAAAGCAAATACTTGAGGGAGAGCTAACATGGTGCAGAGACCTAAACTGGAGAAACATACCTGCGCAACCTGCTCTGGTGTGAGATGTCCCTGCCCATGGCAGTGGGGAGGAACTAGATGAACTTTAAGGTCCCTTCCAACCCAAACCAGTCTGGGATTCTACAGTTAAATTAGTTGTAAAGAAAGTTTTAGGTGTAACATGTGGTTTGATATAAGAGCACTTCAGTTTAGGAGGCACACACGCACCTCCCTGTGTGTGAGCCTGAACATCTATTTGCAAACCAAGCAGTAAGAAATGTGTACCATCAAGCCAAGGCTAAACTAAACCATACTGTGCCCAAAATGACTTCAGATATGTTCAGATTTGCATTCGATTCAATTCAAGCAACTTTTCTAAAAGGGTAAGTGCTGCTTCAGTTAAGTGTGCAGCACTTGGGCATACCAACAACTTCTGTATGTCTGTATTCCTGGAGCTCTGCTTACCAGGATCTGAAAGTTTATTTATCCGCATCATCTACATGACCACTATGCTTGGCCCTGCGAAGCATTCAACAGCTTTGAGGATCTGCAGAGGAAAAAAGCAATAGGAAAGAAAATGTGGTTTATGCAACACATTGCAAGTAAAAAGAGCTTGCTCATGAGGGTGGACCTACTATCAGCAGTTTTAACCAGAGTAAAAACCAAGCACAGGCAAACCACCTACAGGTGCTGTCATAGGAGCGATGCTCACCACAGAGTCCCTTGTCTGATGGAAACAGCTTGATACTTTGGGACTGCAATAATCACTGACGGATGGACAGTGGTTTTGGGTTCCTGCACTTGCTCTCCACGGGGCTGCAGTGCGCTGGGTAGGTTTCCCCGCAGAGAAACAATAAAGCGACCTGGTGAATCATTGCTTTTCCCCTCCTCCCCTGCCTGCTGCCATGGTGGTAATTCAAAGAGGGAGTCTGAACCTGAAGGCTGATGTGACCTTGCAGCTTTCCTGGGGCCACAGCTCCCTCTGCAGTCACCTGCCTGACATAGAATCACAGACTGGTTTGGGTTGGAAAGGACCGTGAGATCATCCAGTTCCAACCCCCCTGCCATGGGCAGGGACACCTCACACTAAACCATGTCACCCAAGGCTCTGTCCAACCTGGCCTTGAACACGCCACGACTGGAGCATTTATCACTTCTCACCTGCACTGAGCTGCAGCAAACCAAACCCTAAGAGATACACAGCTGTGGTTTGGGTTTTTGCCTGCAAAGCCAAGTGCTGGAGGCTGAGATGAGTTTCTAGCTGTGAATTCCCACTGGTGGGACATGTGCTTTGGAAACCTGCGACTGCAGGATCTCTGCTGGCTGGGATGGCTGGGAACAGGGACAAGAAGCCACTTCCCAGGTAGATCCTTTACATGTCCATTTACATGGACTGATGAAGCATCCTTTGGACTCCATCCCTTACTCTAATGTCCTGTGCAGAAGTGCTTGTAGATCCTTGCTCTTCCGGGGACACACTTCTGCACCAATGAGCAAGTGGCTTTACTGAGAAGCAGCCAAGAAGCTGCTGGCTCTGGCTCTGCCCACAGTCATCTCAGAGAGCAGGGATCAGGCTCCTTGGCATTGCTAGGATTCATCAATCTGGCCTTGCACACAGTTGAGAAGAGCCTGCCCAAGCTTAATCCTCTCCAGGCTCTGGAGTACCTTGACCTGTTGTTATAGGAGGGAGTGAGGACTTGAGCCTCTCATCAGGTGGGACAACTGCTGAGTTTAGATGCTCTGTAAGGTCTTTGATGGGTTTGTTCTTCTGAAAGAGGAAATTTAAGCCTAAATCCATAAGCGGAGCTGCACAAACTTCTAAAACAAAGGTAAAGTTCTTCCTTTCCTTCCCTTTCCCAGCCATAGTAAGAGAATCACAGAATCATAGAATCAACTAGGTTGGAAAAGACCTTTGAGATCACGAAGTCCAGCCATAATGCATTCTGGAAGCTGGGCATCTGACCGACACATGCAGCTCTTCTCTGTGGTCACAGCTCCCTCTGCAGTCAACTCGGCTGCACCGGTAACATCAGGCAGTGAAGTCTCCACAAACCCCGTGTTGTGGACCAGACAGGATACTCTTCAGTCCTCACAGAACTCCCAAGGAGAGCACCAGCTAGGCTGTGAGCTCAGCAAAGGCAGCAGAGGAGATTCCAACTCACTGCAAATCATTCACTTAAGCCTATGCAGCAAGCAGAGACCAGGATGAGAAGGTCTGAGTCTGGAGGGGCACCACAGTACATCCCACAGTTATATAGAGGGTGTGTGGCAAGGGATGCAGGAACCAGGATACTCAAGATCACTCAGTGAGCAGGGCTGGGAGGGGGGGGCCTGTCCTAAAGTCTTCCCCTCATCAGACTTCTCAGTGTTGGGGTCAAACCAGAGGCTACTGAGAGGCTGTGTCTGTTTCCAGGTGGGGACGACAGCCCAGACACCTCACCCAATCACCAAGGGGTTAGGACCAACACAGGATAACAGAAGGAGCCTTGAGAGCCCATCAGTGCAGCCATTGGTGCTGTTTTGGCACCTTCTTCAGGCAGGAGGGGTAGTGTAAAAGAGATGAGGGCTTACATTTTGCACTGGGGTATTCAATGACATACCCACTGAGCAGCAGAAACGACACAATACAGCCCTGGATCAAGGTTTGCTCTGATTTAATCTGTATTTCAGAAAACAGATTCTGAAAGCAAAAGAATCTTTCAGAAAGCAAGAAAAAACATTGTAAAAGGTGAGAGGATCACGTCAGTGTGCATTACCCCACCCCAAATCCAGTGCATCCTGAGCAGCATACAACCACCTCCACAACCTGGCAGCACCAAAAGGCACCTCCTCCCAGGCTCAAAGGACTCCCCCCTCATTTCCACAGCTTGGGATCCATTGTAAGGCTAACAAGAGGCTGGTTTGCTCTTCCAGTAACTCCCAACCCTGTCAGTCACATTCTTCACTTGTGCCAGCACTGCAATTGGCAGTTGGCAATGCCAACACCAGGTCACATTTGAGGAACCCTACCAGCAACCAAGCTCCAGCCCATCAATCCCATTTTTCTATGTGAGTGGTTGCTGCTTCCCTTTTATCCAGTTCCTTACACGGTTGATTCTGCTGGTACAAATATGCCCATGTCCATCAGCTGTACCAATACCTTCCCATGTGAGCTCATACTGAGGGCTTGTATGAAACTGATTCATTTTCTTTCTTTTGCATAGAAAAGGAAGTTGGAAATTCTTGCATAAAATCTTATGTTAATCTAGCATCATTACACAGGGGTGTCAGTGAGAAACTTCTAAAAACAAGAATAAACACATCAAGGAAATCAAGGTGCTATTTCAAGACCTTAATTCTTTGATTTTCTAAGATACAGCAATCCAGTTTTCTAGGTTAGTTTCCCTTGACATCAGTTCTTCAACCTCAGTGCAATTACTTCATATTAGCATACAATGATTTCGTGATGCAGCTTTTGGCTAAGTTACCAATCCAGAGGTCAACAAAGCACAGGCAAGGTCTGCACCCTCCGATCAGAGAAGCTCATTCTCAGGCCCATGGTTTCCATC